TAAGTACACTGAAAGTGTTTTTATTCTAGTTTTCCGGCACTTTTGAAATGATTTTTCACGCCCGTAAGAAAATGCCCCCAAGCAATTAGTTTCATAGCCTGCTAATATTCAGATCGCTTTAAAATTGCCGAGACTAGGAATAAAAAAAGGTAGAACTTGAACCTTCCTAATGGCCTGTAATAAGTTTATTTACAAGTATATATTCTTTTTTAAGTATATTTTTCGAAACCGTTTGTTTTTCTTGTTTTTTTTTTATCTTTGATTTGTTTCTTTTATAAAAAGTTCATCTTCTTGCGTTTTATCGAATTTTTTCCCACGCAATTCAGAGTACCTTTTCTTTTTTTCCATTTATTTACTTGTAACCTTTTACGTTACAAAATTTTACATCGCAAACAACCCCATCTTAAATATGCTGTTTCAATGCATACACTTGTAAGGAGAAAACTTAAAAATAGCAGAAAAGGTTCTTTGTTTGCCCAGTGATTCTACTTACTTTATTCTTTATAAAGAACGCCATTCTAATGAAAAAAGGGTGGAAGAGACTTGTCAGTAATTTTTTCGCCTTATGAGCAAAAAAGAAAATTAAAAAAGCAAAGCGGATAATTAAACAACACTTAACACTGAATTTACGATTGAAAAAAGAAAAAAAATCAAAGCTGTTACAATTCATTGCGTCTAAGAGAAATAATTTCAGCGATGAGTTAGGCGGCAACGCCTTGCTGAAAACGTGAAAAATCAAACGTCTTCTTCATTCGTGTCTTGTTTTGTAGGTACATCCGGAAGAATATTGTTGTTTACCTCAGAAAGACTACTTTTTGCGTATTTCCTTCTCCTACAATATCAATTGTTTGCGTATTTAAATCACACGTAATGAAATATCACACAGTCTTCATTTCTGGCACAGTCGTTGTTACTGTCAAGAAAATTACCCAACATTAACTGACCGCTTGAATTTCTTATTAGAAGTCAAAGTTTTTGCTCCACCTCTCCTCCAATCATACTCGCCGCAGATTCTTTCCGCGGAGTTTTGGTTCATTTGGTGAAATGTAAGTCATGTTTTTTGTTGATTTTTTGCTATCTTTGATTTCGCGTTTTCGATGTTGTTACATAACGTTATTAACACACCCTTTCGGCTAGCATTACATAGCCAATATCTAAGATTCGTCACTTAACACAACTATAGTCTTCATAGTCCAAGGTGAAAGCACAAAGTAACTGCCTTCTTTACTCGATTTAATAGTTTCGAAGTGAAACTAACCGTACAAAGTTCTCCTCACTTTTTAGCAATAGTGGGAAAATCTTTATCTCATGTTTTTTTCTTTCTTGATCAAACCAAACTAAACAGCTTATTCAGTGGAGTGGTTTTCAAGCTGCACAGTGGTTTTAACTCTTACGTCGGTCAAAAATAAACACTTCAGTGATACTTCAAATGAAAGCTAGTAATCAGTGCTTTCCCGGCTCTATCGTTGTTTGTTATACTGTATGCGGTAGCTCTAACCTCTAAAAACGAAAGGGTTGACCGTGTATTTTTGAAGTCCTTTCATTGGTCAATACTGGCCTGTGGTGCTGTTTGCACAGCACTACTTCAAAAGCCGGGTTCTTACTTCAAGGCTATGGACGCAATAATCCTCCCTGGTTGGTCAATTTTTACTCTTGTGGAAGAAATCTTTAAGAGAGGCTATTCAAATGCAAGCTACTGAATAGTACTTTCTCGTGGTACTGTCTACATTATGCTGTGCAAGGTGGTTCTAAACTTTTGAGTCTGTGAATAAAATCCTGTGGTACTGTTTATTATGCCGTACAAGGTGGTTCTAAATTTTGAGTCTGTGAAAGAAATCATTAGGAAGAGATAACTCTAAAAAACGCTACTGAACAGCACTTTCTTGGAGCTGTTTATTATGCCTCACAAGGTAGTTTTAATGACTCCCTAGGAGATCTGAAATAAACTAGTGCTACCGTGAACCATCCATTTGAGTCTCTCTTGCTGCGTAATATGTTATTTTGTACTGAGCTTGTTATGTGGTTTGTTGATGAAAGATTACGGTGGATGTAATCAGTGTGTTATGCGGTCAACAACAATTAACTGCTTGAAATGAAAATTTTTAAGTCGATCGTACCAATCGGAGTTGTTGCTTGTTTCTTATGCTTTGCTTTCCGCACTTTTCGTGACTAGTGAACAAACATTTTAGAATATTTATCAGATTTGAAATAGTAGTACTCTTAAACAGTAACAGACTCAAGGACATGTACGTGTAAATATCAACTGTTGCACATAACAAAACCTTAAAACTTTAAATAAATGCATGTACGGTTTTAAACCCTTTCTCCCTCCCTAGTCGATTACTTCCACAAGTGAGAGTAACAATAGTTGTTACTTTGGAGTGTATTATCGAATGCTAAAGTATGTGCTAACATTCAAATGGAACCTCTTTAGCAGTACTTTTAAGTACTAAGTAAACTGGAAATTGAGCCTTTTAAGGTGCTAGGCTTACTTCTATGGCTTTAAGTTCAAGTAGCGATTCGCTCACAAGAGTTGGTCTTTAACTACGAAGTGCATATATGATACTCCTCCACTGTTATACGAGACCCTACCGATTCGTCTAATATTGTAAGGCAGTCAAAGCTACGCCAAAATAGTGAGATTATTCGCGTTAAGTTAAGATAACGTCAATATCAATGAAACGCGGGAATGAAACTCTGCTAAGAACAGTCGCCTAAATCCCTAAACGATGGCATGGAATAACCGAAACACGTTACAAATGTCCGTAATAAAAACTGAGGTAGAAAGCAGGATCCAAAATGGCTAACGTTCAATTGAAGTTGAGTAGAGGTGCTCATGCATTTTTTTTTTCTGTTTTGCGGTGCCTTTGTGATGTCTTTGCCCATGGAATAGTCGCTTTGATTGCGTGTGTAAAATTAAGATGGATTGCCGGTGAACCAGTTCTAACCAGATACTCTTTCCTCTTTTTGCTAGTTTTGCTTGTTTTCCTTTTTTTGTCTTTTTTGTAAAGGCTTTGAAATATATCTAATGAAACATCTGGCTATCTTTTGAAGTATAACACAAACTAATACTCTGTACAAAGAATGAGTCCACCTTCCCGACCTAAAATTTGATAAATCCTCAAAATCGATTCAGGTCTTATTGTCACATATAAAAACCCCTACTCTAGGTTTATCAGTCAACTACGCAATTTCGTTGTTTGCCTAATCTGTCATACCAACCATACCTTGGATGATTCGTATTCACCACCAATGTTTTTATTTACCATCTTTGCCAACAGTACAGATTAGAAACTTCGAAATATTGATTTATGAGTCAGTTTTCTCTCTCTTTTTTTATCTCACGCCACCAGGGATAGATCTATTTATTTCTTCGGGGAGAAGAGTGGGGTAGTGTCACTGTAGTGTTGTCGGCAACTGGCGCGTTGCTCATGATCAGTGCTTCATATCCTTCGTATCAACACACATCTATATATTAAGCTCTAGGAAATAGACTGAAAGAAAACTGCTGGAATTGATCATAGTCTCGCAGCGAATTAAGTCATTTTTTCCACTTGTGACGATAGTAGCAAATCTCAAATCTCGAATTTCGAGAAAATAACCAAAATACAGTTTGTATAAAAATGAATCGAAAGTTCACGAACTGCGAAGAGAATTGATTTCAATTATCACTCGGCGGGATGTCTTAGTAATGGCGAGACACTGCGTGCGGAAAATAAAGAAAAACGGATTTTCATGAAAAGAAATAAATAGCATAAATAAATAAATAGCCCCCATGGCTCGTGGTTTTCCATCCTTTAACGTCCTCCGAAAGTTTTGTTTGTCTTAATTTGTGCACCGTACAGTACAGGAAAGGTGGTTTCATGGAACGGTTACTTCAAAAGGGTTCGTCCACAGAAGTGGATCTCGTGTACTTTGGAAGTGAAGGTGTCAAGACATGTTAAGACGTTGAACGGACACGGTTAACTACTTTTTTTTCAAAACTGAATGGTTGAATCTTATTAATTTCTTGAATCATTTAATGGGGCTAGTAATGTTTCATTTGTCCATGTTGTCTGTTCTTGCTATACAAGATGTTTTGTAGTTTTTTTGGTTGTCGATAAAATACTAACCTCTGACCATATACAGGAAAGCTCTCAGGGCTATTTTTTTTCCACTCCTTTTTTTTTTTCTTGTGAAACTTTTTCGTGCATTTGTCATTTCCGTATGATTTAGAGGTCAAATTTTTGTCTTTCGTGCTCACACCCACTCACAGATTGACCCTGTTTAGCCTGCAGATTCCGCACCACGAATATCCGATCTTTGTTACAACAGTATCCATCCTTTGATTTTCCGCCCATCCTTAAATTGTCGTTTCCATTGGACGCGTCGCCATTTGTCTACAAAACCACGCCGCGTCACGAAATGAAAGACACGACCGACGTCGACCTGCTCGGAAGCTTTCATTTGAGTGGTAGCACTTAAGCATTATGTCCGCAGATCTGATTGATAGAGCCGCATTGAACAGCATGGTTTTCATTTCAATAGCGACGCTTTCTTTATAATCTACAAAACCATCTTATAGATGATAAGATGATAAAAAGCTCTAGAGTTTTTTTAGGATTTGATTCACAGACTCAAAAGTTAGAACCCTCTGGCACAGACAATACCACTGGAAAGTACTCCTCAGTGGCTTTTATTTGAATGATCACACTTAAGGATTTTATCCACGGACCCAAAAGTTGGAATAACCTTTTACAGCATAATAAACAGTACCACAGGAAAGATCTGCTCAGTGGCTTCTATTGGAATGGTCACACCTAACGATTTCATCAACAGACTCAGAAGTTATAACATCCTTGTACAGTATAATCAATAGTACCCAAGGAAAGTCAGTACTGCTTAGCAGTTTTCATTTAAATGGGTCACTTTAGGATTTCATCCTAAGACTCAAAAGTTAGAACCACATTGTACAGCGTAATAAAGTTAAGTTCCATGTATTGTTTTTTTTCCACCCTAGGATGAGTGAAATACTGCCCCAAGTACCCTCCCCAGGAAGTGCTCTGTACCACCGCATTCCAAAGTGTGCGCGATGCAGAAATCACGGTGCGTTGTCATGGCTTAAGGGACATAAACACTACTGCCGCTGGAGGGACTGCACATGCTCCAAATGTCTTCTCATTGCTGAGCGCCAGCGTATTACGGCCGCTCGAGTGGCCCTCTTGAGACAACAGAGAAAGAACTCAGAAGTGACGCAAAAAATGGAACAAAAAGATGAAGACAAAGACCAGATGAGTAAGGGTTTTGGAGATGATGTTTATCAAAGGCCTTCCATGGTGCTAAACTCCATGTCGTCGTTACAAAGAAGAAAAGACAGCGACGATGAGTACGAAGGTGGGAAAAATTTACTTCACAAATGATCTGATCCTTTTACTTGCAAAAATACCTATAATGGAATTTATAAAAAAAATATGTCTTAAACTGAATTTGCCAGTGAAAGTGTAGTTATTACTAAAAAAAGTGTCAGGTTTGCACCACAGGATTTTTTTCATGGGCTCTAGAGTTGGAACTACATTAGGTGTGTGTCGAAGTAAAGGAAACATAATTCGGAATAGAAAGCGCGTTACTAGGGAAATAACAGAATTTGTTAAATCTTAAGGCATTGGGTGTAGCCTTGAGTTAAACTAGTATTCCATGGAATAGTATGTAGCAGTGCTCTTTTTTGCTTCCGAGAAACCAGCCAAGATACTTAGCCGGGATTTTCTTTTTAACCCACAGATGAAGGTATCGATCAACAGCTATCTCCGACATCATCTAAGGAAAACGAGGACTTTCAAAATGAACAGTCTTCCCAGCCTGAGCCGACTATGATCGATGGTGTCCGAATAAAAACCGAGCCTGGAAAATCGCCAGACGAAGACGACGAGGAAAGAAGTACAGTTGTCACGACAAGCGAAGGCGAAACTCAACGCCAGTCTCCAAAGAGAAAACTAAACGGAGAAATGCATCAAGAGGAGATCGATGTCTTACGACTGCATACGAAGATGCCCCGAACATCTGAAAGCCCTAGTTCGGGAAGAAAGCTACATCCGGATCCACTCGGATTGCTCATCCGAGCGTTCCCGAGTCAGTGCCGAAGCGTTCTTGAATTAGTTCTTCAAGGATGCGGCGGGAATGTAGTTCAAGCTATTGAGTGCTTGCTTCAAAATCAAGAAAAGAAGCAATTTCCTCTTCCCATGCCAGTGCCGGTAATCGCCAGTGTTTCCGGGCCACCACCAACAATTCATCCCGCCTTACATTTTCAAGGTCCATCTCTATTTCGCAAACCGGAGCCATTTTCACATGGATACCACAGACCCCCTCTTAGTCCAAACTGTCCCTTTCCCCCACCTCCACCACTACTGAAGCCAAAACCACAGGTGACTGGTTATCCTTTCTCTATGGAAGCCGTATTGGCTTCACCACCGAGCAACGCAAGCGCGGGTTCGAGTTCACCCAAGGGCGAGGACAAGCCAGCATCGATACACTTTTGTACAAAATGCGGACGAAAAGCCAGCTGCGAGGACAATTTTTGTGCTTTTTGTGGGCAAAAGCTGCATAAATAATGTCTTAGTTTGCTTTCCTTTAGAATGTTTATAGCCTGAGAAAACAGCCGACATTTTGCGTTGCCACTGCTGGTTTCCCCGCCAAATGACGTCAGAGAAACGTCACTACCTAGATCTGGGTTGTGCTTCTGATTGGCTGAAAATTTGCATCATCCAATCAGAAGCATTACCCAGATTTGGGTAGTGACGCGTTATCAGTATGGAATTTCTGCGCTCGTTTCTCAGACGTCATTTCGCGGGGAAACCAGTGGTGGTGTCGCGAAATGTCGGCTGTTTTCTCGGGCTAGAGTGTTTATAGAAGTAAGCTGTTACTCAAGCTATTACTCAAGACTCAAAGCCTTACCCTTTCACCCCCAGAATTGACCAAAGTCTTTCTGCAAAACAGTTAGCACCGTATTTGATGTACTGTCAAAGAGGTGTCATTTGAATGGACACACCACAAGATTTCATCCACAGACTCAAAAGTTAGAACCACCTTGTACCGCATTATAAACAGTACCACAGGAAAGTACTGCTCAGTAGCTTTCATTTGAATGGTCACACTGCAGGATTTCATCCTCAGACGCAAAATTTAGATGTACATCACAAGACTCCATCATCAACTCTGGGGCTGAAAGGCGTGACAACTGAGAGTGGTCAGGATCCTTTTTTTAGGTGAATTACATTAAGATATGAAGAAGTTATTTCTATTTAGATATTGATATTTGAGCCCGAAATGTTAACGAACTTGCTAGCATGCTTAACTATTTAACGAAGAGGAAATTTTTCAAGCATTAAATGAACGTCCTCTGACAAGAAAAAAATACATATATATACATATATATATATATACAACATACAACATACTAATTGTTAGAATCTTTTACTTTTTCTTTTTTTTTCTCCACTATCGTCCAAGACGATGTAAAATTTCTTTATTCACAGTGACTTAGTAGAAGTTTGATCGTGCCATATACACCGACTCTCTCAACATCGATATACGGAATGGTACACGGCGTTTAATTGCCATTCTCTTTAAGACTTTACGTGTGTTGAAAGATATACCTCTCGCTAAAATTCGAGCGACTATTGACGCGGGTTACTGACATTGAAGGGCTTAACAAGTTAACCCAACCTATTTTCTGAAAGCTCAAGGAGCTGATATTTTGGTCAATATTTATTAGAATTATTGTGATAATTATACTTTTTGACCTGACTTGTAGTTTCTATAATTTTTCCTTATTGTAAAAAAAACACTGACATCTCTCTTTTAATTGTTACTGGAAGTAATATAAGGATAAACAAGTCTTTGGCGTGTAGTCAGCTTGATGTGGTAGAATAATGGCTGGCTATATTTGTTTGACAATTTTTATACACTTCATTATATACCTGAAATTATGTTAATGTTCCTGTTTGCAAGAGCGGATCTGGGATTTTGATTGGGATTTTGGAGGGACACCCCAGGGATATCTACGTATTTGTATATGGGGTAATAAAAATAATATTCCAAATTTATCTTCCATTAGTTTATTACCAATTCAGTTTATACTTAGTGAATTCTTTTAAGCCTTTTGGCTCATAAAACCATGTGACCCAGCTGTAGATGTTAAGTGATTTCATAGTTAACTGACCCGTTCGCTTCAAAATATATTAGTCGAAACTACAAAGAAAGTCCCTTTTCCTATGTATGTCATTCATTTCAATTAGTGTTTGCTAAATCATTGGATAGCAATTTTGGCGTCTTTTTCTCTTGGCTCCCGTCATGGACATTCCGCATTGTTTTGGGATTGGCGATGGCCGCAATTTTCCTTTTAGTAAATTGCACCAAATTCATTAAAATGCACTTGGAACCCCCCCCCCCCCTGAAATATTTGTAAACAAAGCCAGCTAAAACACAAACCTATAGCTCTTACTAAGTGAGGTTGTGATTTCAAATAAAATACTTTTTCATTTTTACCCCAATGATTTGGTTTACACTCAGATTCGGTGCATAGCGCTGGATACTGATTTACCTCAACGCTCCGTGTGCTATGTATTCACTACCATGTATAATATTTAATGGCAGTTTATCGCAGGGTTGACATATCCTTAATGATGTGGTACGCATGCGTCTAACTGTCTTTTCCAATAGTCTGGACACAGAAGTTAAATAGAAAATACATTGTCAGTGCCTTAAAATGTTATATAATTCGTACGTGCATGTGTGAAAATACGAAAATGTATATTCTAATAGCCCCTCAGAAGATAAGGTGTTATACATAAGTTCACTTTTTTCAAGAAGAGAACATAAAGACAATAAACAATGTTTTATGTAATATTTACTTATTGAGTCTTCGTTGGAGTAGGGGGATGACTGACTAAAGGGATCGCATGAACTAATAGCGGAGCTCTCGCGCAAGAAGCGGGTAAGAAAATGCGCTAATCTATCCATCCGAGAAAAATTGGTAATCACATGATCGTACACCGACCGAGCGACCGTCCGTCCGCACCACAGGCATACCAATGTAAAATAACTCAATCAACAGGTATGGCGACCGAAATGGAACTCATGGTTATTTTGGCGAGAAACCGCATAGCCACCCGCGTGAGGCAGCTAAAGAGGCAGCTAAAGAGTCAATAAAGACGAAAACGGAAAGCGGAAATTGTTTCTGTATCCGTGTTGTCTAAACTATTAAGCTTAAATTAATTGTCATGTCCACAAATTTAGCATATGGAGCAAGAGAAAGACAAAGAAAAAGAGAGAGTAGGCGACAGGCCGGCGAAATTCAACGAGAAAAAAGGCGACAGAGATCTAGAGGGAGAGATAAAAAACAAAGGACACGAGAAAAAACGAGAACACGTACGACATTTCCTCCATAAAAAAGTTTCTAGAAGTTTCGCGTTGTCGTAGTGCAAAACAACGGCAAAGAAATGAACAAAAAAAGTGTGCTGTACGTGCAAAGTTGTTTTTTTGCTAATTAGATAAAAAAGTTGCTGCACGTGCAAAGTTGTGTTTTTGCTAATTAGACCTGTTGTTGTTTTTCACCTTTGTGCCTCAGTTTGGACAAGAGCCATAATGGGATTAAGGCTCTTGGTTTGGACTAAAAATAAGGGGTGGGGGCGGGCAAGAAAGAACCAGTCGGTTTTATTTGCACGTTGAGTGCATCTCTGCATTCAAAGGTTTTTGTTTGAGTCATACACGTTTGAGATGTGCCATAAAGTTGATTATTCCTCCATAATTTCCTCGCTCATCTAAGCCTATCTTTCTATCCAGCACATTAGCAAAGGGAACCTTATTTCTGAGTTCATTTTGACCAGAAGCAGTAAAATTACGGTTTAAACCCTTTGAAAAGATCCAACAAGGCGACTTTGCAAAATCGCCCGTTTTTATTCTCTAGGAAGCCTTTTTATTCATCAAGAACATCACCAATCATTCCCTCGAAGTCTATTTTAGTTAAAAGAAAATGTAGCTAAAGATGTAAGCTTATAACCCTTATAACCCCGATAATTACCCTGATAAACTCATGGGGAAAATGGCATCTACGTAAAAACTATATCTTTAAAGTTAAAAACTTTCTTTCTATCTAGAGTATCCGACAGCAAACATTATTTCTAGGTATATTTTCCAATATTTGACCAAAATTATCGGTGTTAACCCCCCAAATCCACTGGATATCGCAGGATAACCTGTCTGGAAAAATTTCATTTATTATCGATTTATTTGAGTCAGTAGGAGAAGTTAGTTGTGAAAGAGCGGACATTGTTTGCCTTACAATTTTCAAAAGAGATATATTTTGCAGCAGCCTATTAGCTCCTGATTTTTGTTAAAGAGGAAAAAAATTGAGAGTTCTTGACATTATTGACATTTTCAGACACCACCCATCCACCCCTCTCATCACTCTTTTAACAATGAGTGGAACCTGGGACCAAGAAGAAACAAAGATGGCGGCTGAAACGCGTGCTTGTTTAAAGCCTGAACTTTAGAGTGATTCCACCGTTTGTTTTCAACTTCAACACCGTGGCTTAAACGGCTAACCATTTTTGACGTATTTTTCGTCGTTTGGCTTATTTTCATGCATGGAAATGTACTACTTCAGCAACAGGAGACAAACTCACAATGCAACAAAAGGTCTGTTGGCTCAGACGGTATATTGAAGGTAGGCTTTCCTCTTTCTCGATTTCCAAGAAACATTATAGAGAAAATCATTCCTTTAATTAATGTAAGAACTGAAATTTCTAAAAGGTTGCGCGGATTTCTTTAAGCATAAATTCCATGCCTCAAACTCCAACTTCTCAAGCTTTGCCGGCGGATGTTGTTGTTTTGTAAACAAACTGCAAGATGGCTTTTCTCGGTTTGCAACCGCGTGACAAGGTGGCTGTGTTGGCTTTTCGTAGAATTAGCATGGCAAAAAAATAGTTCAGGTCCCAGTTGGGGAAAATGCCTTTGTTCTTCGGGGTGCACAATGTGTGAGCCATGCGAGGCAGACGTGTGAGGAATCAGATAACGCGCAAGGCACAAACAATTCATTGGTATTTACTCTCTCACTTAAGGCTAGTTTTTGCTAGCAGCAGAGTCGAAGTCGGAGTTGTAAGCGGAGCGGTAAGAGCGCTTCTTACCTAGTTAAAATTAAAAAATAGGAGTTGTAAGCGGAATCGTAAGCGCGACAGAATCAGAGTCAGAAGAATCAGAACATTTCCATTTCTTCTGACTCCGCTTATGACTCCGTCGCTTACGTTCTGCTTATGATCTAGTGAAAACCAGTTTGCCAGAGTTGGAAGCAGAAGCAGAAAGATAAACCAGTCACTAGGCACATTCCCATGGTTTGTGATTGGTTTAGTTTTTTCTTTACGTATGGCATTTTTTAAAACATCCCTGGACTGGCTGCTTACTTTGACAACTCAGCCGTCTACATTGTACTTCAAAACTTTCAAACAACCCTGAAGTTGGCAGCGATTTTTGCCGGCAGCCGGCTACTTTTGACACCCCTGTATATAACCACTCTCAATTGTCACACTCAGCCTCTCTGCTGAAAAAATCAATTGCCCCGTCCCCTTGAGCAAGTGTATTGCCAAAGGGGTTAACCCATGGTTTCGGTCAAAAAATCCTCAATCTTTTCTAGTTTGTTTTTCAGCAAAATAGGGCTAGAAATAATGTTAAGCTATGGTCTAGAAAGGAAAGAAGCTTTTGAGGACGATGAAAATGTCAATTTTTTTAAATGCAAAACCATGGTTTTGGTAAAAAAATCCACAATTTTTTCTAGTTTGTTTTTCAGCAAAATAGGCCTAGAAATAATGTTAAGCTATGGTCTAAAAAGGAAAAAAGCTTTTGAGGAGGATAAAAATGTCAATTTTTGAAACTGCAAAAGATGGGTATTTGCCTGGGGGTTAACCCATGGTTTTGGTAAAAAAAAATCCACAATTTTTTCTAGTTTGTTTTTCAGCAAAATAGGCCTAGAAATAATGTTAAGCTATGGTCTAGAAAGGAAGAAAGCTTTTGAGGCGATGAAAATGTCAATTTTTTAAAATGCAAAAAAAGGGTATTTGCCAAAGGGGTTAACCCATGGTTTTGGTCAAAAAATCCACAATTTTTTGTAGTAAGTTTTTCAGCAAAATAGGCTTAGAAATAATGTTAAGCTATGGTCTAGAAAGGAAAGAAGCTTTTGAGAACGATAAAAATGTCAATTTTGTAAACTCCAAAAATTGGATATTTGCCAAATGGGTTAACCATGGTTTCAGTCAAAAACTTCACAATTTTTTCTAGTTTGTTTTTCAGCAAAATAGACCTAGAAATAATGTTAAACTATGGTCTAGAAAGGAAAGAAGCCTTTGAAGACGATGAAAATGTCAATTTTTTAAACTCCAAAACTGGGTATTTGCCAAAGGGGTTAACTCCTGCTTTCGGTCAAAAAATCCACAATTCTTTCTAGTTTCTTTTTCAGCAAAATAGGCCTAGAAATATTGTTAAGCTATGGTCTAGAAAGGAAAGAAACTATTAAGGACGATAAAAAATGTCAATTTTTTAAACTCCAAAGAATGGGTATTCACCAAAGGGGTTAAATCCTGCTTTCGGTCAAAAAATCCATAATTCTTTCTAGTTTCTTTTTCAGCAAAATAGGCCTTGAAATAATGTGAAGCTACGGTCTAGAAAGGAAAGAAGCTTTTGAGGACAATAAAAATGTCAATTTTTTAAACTGCAAAAAATGGGTATTTGCCAAAGGGGTTAACCCATGGTTGTGGTCAAACAACCCACAATTTTTTCTAGTTTGTTTTTCAGCAAAATAGGCCTAGAAATAATGTTAAGCTACATGTATGGTCTAGAAAGGCAAGAAGCTTTTGAGGATGATAAAAATGTCAATTTTTTAATCTCCAAAAAATGGGTATTTTAAAGTGGAAACTTATGCTAACTTCTTTAGTTCCTTGTTATCTCTACACCCTGGTGATGGTAGCACACTTTGGGAGTGGGAAGTAAACTTTATATCATGATTCTTACATGTATTTTTCCACTTTCAGTATTAAAGAGAAGGCACACATTACTCCAATCTAAAATAAGCGACGTGAACAGTGGGAATCACACACTGAACACACACTGCTGCTTTTGGTTGAACTGTTGTATCTTCAAGTTTATAGTTTGGCTGGTGAGTACATGTATATCACGTTATGAATTTCTTTTTAATATTCCTTTTTGAGCTATTTTGAAAAAATAGCTCATATGTCAGTGGTGTGAGCGTATGTATCTTTGTGGCTTTGTAACTTTGTATGTTCGGATCTTTGTTGCAAGAGCCAATAAGGTTGAAGGTACTATTAGTTGATGCTTAGGAACCAATGAGATCTTAGCATCTACTTAAACATGACATTGGTAAAGGTCGAACAAGGGCACTTTGAGACCGCCATCTTTATTCTTCACAATTTTTTCGTCTTTTATTACGGCTACAGGTGTTTGGAAACATTATATTTAATATCTTCATTATTCAAACGCTGTGTACAGTGATGCAGCTGTTTAAGGGTTCATATTTTAGTGTTGAAGCTACTTCAAGACATTTCTGACCGAATTCGGCTATCGTTAACGGTATTAACGCACGTATTTATGAGTTGTGTTTCACGTGCTTCAAGGTAGAGTATAAAAGATCGTATATTTTCAAAGCTCTTCCAGTGAAGCAATAATTGATATTTAGATATAGACTTTTATTTGAAAGTATGCGCCCTATAAAATGTGGTTTTAGAAGTTTAAAAGGCAGCTTATTTTTTTGAAAGCTGTATCGAGTATTGTTAATCCTGTAAACAAGCTTTAAAAATATTATTCTCTCGCTTACAAAGTTCAACCGACCTTTTTGGTTCTATTTAGTAAAGATGCGTAACTTAAGTAGAAACAGTGGCGTTAGGGAATAAAATTGGAGGAAGCTAGTTGACACAATAATCATGATATAAGTAGAAATATATTTCGGCAGTTTGATAATTTTCTTGGAAGTTAATAAATGTTAGGCTATCAACCTTGACCTTGCATGAAACATAATTTAATTGCAGATGTTGTAGTAAAGCCGAGGTGATTTCTTAAAATCGTTTAAGAAAATTTTGTAACATCTTCACATGCAAATTGTGTGCATGAGTTATTTTTATAATTCTGTTTACTAGATTACTGTGTGATAACTCGAATTCCCTCACGTACGAACGACGAAAGGGGGCAAAGTCCGACACTTTCACGTGCCAGCTGTGTGACTGTACATCACATGCAGATTGGCTTTTCACAATAATAATAGTAACTTGGACGTATGAAGACCTGTTTCATTTAGTAACCAATGCCTTAAAAAAGGCTCTTGTCTTTTAGGAAGCAATAGCTTTTAAAACATGACGAAATAAGTTGTCGGAGTTAAAGACCGTTTCACAAAATTTTGTTAATAAATGTTAGGTTATCAACCTTGACGTTGCATGAAACATAATTTAATTGCAGATGTTATAATGAAGCCGAGGTGATTTCTTAAAATCGTTTGAGAAAATTTTGTAGTGAAGAATTTGCCTTTTTTTAACGTACGAATTGTAAAAGGGCCAAAGACCAACACCTTCACGTGCAAATTGTGTGCGTGAGTTATTTTTATAATTCTGTTTACTCAGCTAGTTTACTGTGTGATAACTCGAATTCCCTCACGTACGAACGACGAAAGGGGGCAAAGTCCAACACTTTCACGAGCCAGCTGTGTGACTGTACATCTCATGCAGATTGGCTTTTCACAATGATAAATAGTAACTTGGACGTATGAAGACCTGTTTCGTTTTGTAACCAATGCCTTAAAAAAGGCTCTTGTCTTCTGAGAAGCAATAGCTTTTAAAACATGAAGAAATAAGTTGTCGGAGTTAAAGACTGTTTCACTGAGTAGAATCGCACGTGAAAACCTCGTGAATTATGATGATGCAACCATCTACCACAATGATAAAAATCCTGGTATTTCGTAACTATTCAGTATTCGATGAGTCACATTTTGGCTTAAGAAACTCCGAGGAAACCTTAGAGTTTTCCTTCTAATCAACGTTTGGTGAGTAGAAATTTATTTCACTTTAACGATTTGTTTAACTTGCACCAGATGTAACAGGGAAAGACAGAGGAAAGTGAATATATAGCTTGAGGATCGACTCAGCTGAGCGTTTCGCGTTTTCATTTTGTACCGCAATACGCAATTTCGCACAAAAACCTAATCTACATTTAGGATGAAAGAGGTAGATTGATCACTCTTGGTAAGGTTACACCGAAGCGTTAAAGTTACACTGAAGAATTCAAAATAGCTCATGCACGTTTAACGTGCCTATGTTTAATGTCTAGTCAGTGGTAAATAACCACTGAAAGTTGACCATTCCCCATGCACATATATCCCATGTGGAAGATTTGCAAAGAGTTAGATATTTTAGATTTATAGGAGAATGAAACTTACACGCCTCTTCTAAAAACTTCTCTGAACCCTGCTTATCACATTTGTAGCCCTAGAAAAGTGTAAAAACGAATGCGATATGGCTTTAAATATTCTGGTACAATGTTTTTGTCCACTGAAAATTAGAATTACGTGATTTCCTGATGGATTTCGTCTTAATAATATTAAAAAACTCTGGAAACCCAAAATATTATCATGTACATTGTAGCTTTGTGTAACCTTCTGTCATGTTTCTTTTTTCAGGCAGATTGTCTTGAAGAAGGTGAAGCAGATCTTCACATATTTATGAGTGTCTCCAATAGAATAGAGGCAACTGAAGTGAAGGACATCATTGCCACAGGAAAGAGATCACAAGTCCCTAGGTTGGTTTGTGGATAACCTTCATTGGTAATACTTCAACAGACTGTCCAACCTTTTGAGTATGTAAAATTGGAATATTTTTTAAACACTGATGAATCATGGGAGTACTGATTGGGTGTGCCGCTAGGGGATCTGGGTGGTTTTCCCATAAAAAATTTGAAATCTTGATGATCTGAAAAGCCATTCCCAGTGTTTTGAGAGGACAATTTTATGCTAAATCCAATAAATTGATTGTCATTTTTTTGTATAATTTTATTTGTGTATCTTTGCGTACAAGTATTTGATTTTAATCTTTATTTCATACAGTTTTTTAGTTTTCCGGACATCAATTTTAGTTAAATATACTCTGTTAGATGTTCTTGAATTGCATGAGTATCATAAAAAAATTTGAAATATCAGAACAGATGTGAAAATTGAGATTTTTCCCATCCCAGTTATTGGTTGGGATTCAGAATTTTCAAGCAAAATTGGGAGAATCCCAATGAAATCAGGATGGTTGGACAGTCTGTATTAAAGGTTATGCACTAAATTTTACAAATGAATTCACAGTCATGTAGTTCTCTAGAAATGTTCACTGACGCAAGCCAGGATTGAATGTGGGGTACATATACAGCTGGCTAGGGATTTTCCTCCGGGGAGAAATTACAGTACTGTGCAAAAGAAATGAAAGAAAAATTTGCCAAAATCAGTTAGTTTTGGCAAATTTCGACGATCAAATTGCGAAGTTTTGTTTCAGACAAAAAAGCGGGCAAAATTTCAGTCCATCTATTGTTCTTATGTCAGCAAAAATTTGCAAAAAAGGTGATGAATCAAAACAAAACTTTGTGGCATAATGAATTTCATGCTGGCTGCAGGAAATTTCGTGTCATTAAAACAAAGTTTAGTTTTTTTGAATGGAAATTTTGTTTCGGCGAAACGAAATATTGTTTCGTGGAAAGGAAATTTCGTACAAGATTGGGTAGAGAACTGTTTAATTGGGCAGATATGTCATGTTCAATAAGGGTTAGAATTGTGTACGAGTCGTGAAGTCCTTTCTTAGTCTCCTCTATCAAATCTTTGGTCCAGAAAACCTCATCACTAATGCACAGACTACTGGCTCCTGACAGATTTTGTAAGAAACATGAAAACCTCTTTCGTTTTTTTCCCTGACAATGTTTTGCCTTGGCATTCTCTATGAAAGCACTCCTCTACTTGCAAAATTTTCGAAATGGTCGCCAAAGGAAGTCGAACGAAAGACGCAAACTGTTCCACTTCAACTGCAAGGCCCACAATGCATTGTAGGCCAAAAATTAAATTCAAGATAACTCGGAAAAATAATTCTTGGCCTAATGAAAAACTAATTCTCAATACGTATTAGAAAAATAATTTGAAGTACCACTGAAAAATAATCTGTGGTATGAATGAAAAAAGTATTCATATAATTAAAACAAAAATAACTCGTGTTGCTAAAAATAATTACTAACATGCTGAAAAAGTATTGTCTAGTGATGACAAAAAATACACAACAGGTCCATAATAATTGCTGCAGTTGGAGTAAAATTGACTTGCGGTGCAATTTTATTGTCATGATTTTGAACAGAACAGGCCTCCATAAAACACACCTATATTTAATATGCACAGTTCTCAAATGAACTGATAAATGGAATATTAGTATTAATTTAGTGGTGCTTATATGTTACCTTCACATAATTTAAGTTATGGCTTATAAATGTTTATTTGCTTTTTCTTCAGGTCATTTGCTACAAACAGACTGGATCAAGTCTTCAACATTTATGATTTGGAGGTTATCTTGAATACTGTAAGTGCTGTATATTTTACTTTGTAATCCAGCTCTTCAGTGAACCAGATAGACAAAATGGGAGTAGCTTGTTTTTAAAAAGTACCACAGTTGTGTTATCGATATGAGCTAAGTTCTGTTGTGTTAAGACAGTTTTTCATCTTTTTTTCCGCTAAAAATAATAATGGGTCGTGCACTTTAAGAAATTCATCATAGCTACTGGGACTACGTAACATCAATGTCAGTCTAGGAGGCCTTGTTTTCTAAGTAGATGATCATTAAGTTTTACTTCTAGCCCTATTTTGTCCAAAAACAAACCAGGAAGAATGTTCCTATTTCTAACTAAAATATTGAGTTAACCCCTTTGAAAAATCAAACAAGGTTACTTTGTAAAATAAGCTTTTTTAAAGTCCAGGAGGCCTTGTTTTCTAAATAGATGATAATCAAACATTATTTTCAGGCTTACTTTCTTCAAAACCAAACCAAGGAATAATTTCCAATTCTTTTTGGACCAAAATCATGGGTTAACCCCTTTGTGGAAAAAAATCCAATATGGTCACTCTCTAAAATCAGCTTTTTCATAGTCCAGGAGGGCTTGTTTTCTAACTAGAAGATCATAAAACATTATTTCTAGGCTTATTTTTGTCCCAAAACAAAGCAAGGAGTAATTTCCAATTTGAGACGACAATCATGGGGTACCCCCTTTGAAAAAAAGCCAATATGGCCACTTTGTAAAATCAGCTTTTTGATAGTGTAGGAGGGCTTGTTTTCTAACTAGACCATCATCAAACATTATTTCTAGGCTTATTTTTGTCCGAAAACAAAGCAAGGAGTAATTTCCAATTTGTGACGACAATCATGGGGTACCCTCTTTGAAAAAAAGTCAATATGACCACTTCGTAAAATAAGCTTTTTTATAGTGTAGGAGGGCTTGTTTTCTAACTAGACCATCATCAAACATTATTTCTAGGCTTATTTTTGTGCCAAAACAAAGCAAGGAGTAATTTCCAATTTCTGACCACAATCATTTGGTACCCCCTTTGAAAAAAAGCCAATATGGCCACTTTGTAAAATCAGCTTTTTTATAGTCTAGAAGGGCTTGTTTTCTAACTAGACCATCATCAAACATTATTTCTAGGCTTTTTGTTGTGCGAAAACAAAGCAAGGAGTAATTTCCAATTTCTGACCACAGTCATGGGGTACCCCCTTTGAAAAACAGCCAATATGGTAACTTTGTAAAATCAGCTTTTTTATAGTGTAGGAGGGCTTGTTTTCTAACTAGACCATCATCAAACATTATTTCTAGGCTTTTTTTTGTGCGAAAACAAAGCAAGGAGTAATTTCCAATTTGTGACCACAATCATGGGGTACCCCCTTTGAAAAAAAGTCAATACGGCCACTTTGTAAAATCAGCTTTTTGATAGTGTAGAAGGGCTTGTTTTCTAACTAGACGATCACCAAACTTTATTTCTAGGCTAATTTTTGTGCCAAAACAAAGCAAGGAGTAATTTCCAATTGGTGACCACAGTCATGGGGTACCCCCTTTGAAAAAAAGTCAATATGGCCACTTTGTAAAATCAGCTTTTTGATAGTGTAAGAGGGCTTGTTTTCTAACTAGACCATCATCAAACATTATTTCTAAGCTTATTTTTTTGCCCAAACAAACCAAGGAGTAATTTCCAATTTGTGACCACAATCATGGTGTACCCCCTTTGAAAAAAAGCCAATATGGCAACTTTGTAAAATCAGCTTTTTTATAGTGTAGGAGGGCTTAATTTCTAACTAGACCATCATCAAACATTATTTCTAGGCTTATTTTTGTGCCAAAACAAAGCAAGGAGTAATTTCAAATTTCTGACGATAATTATGGGGTACCCCCTTTGAAAAAAAGTCAATATGGCCACTTTGTAAAATCGGCTTTTTTATAGTGTAGGAGGGCATGTTTTCTAACTAGACCATCATCAAACATTATTTCTAGGCTTATTTTTGTGGCAAAACAAAGCACGGAGTAATTTCCAATTTGTGACGACAATCATGGGGTACCCCCTATGAAAAAAAGTCAATATGGCCACTTTGTAAAATCACCTTTTTTATAGTGTAGGAGGGCTTGTTTTCTAACTAGACCATCATCAAACATTATTTCTACGCTTATTTTTGTGCCAAAACAAAGCAAGGAGTAATTTCCAATTGGTGACCACAGTCATGGGGTACCCCCTTTGAAAAAAAGCCAATATGGCCACTTTGTAAAATCAGCTTTTTGATAGTGTAAGAGGGCTTGTTTTCTAACTAGACCATCATCAAACATTATTTCTAAGCTTATTTTTTTGCCAAAACAAAGCAAGGAGTAATTTCCAATTTGTGACCACAATCATGGTGTACCCCCTTTGAAAAAAAGTCAATATGGCCACTTTGTAAAATCAGCTTTTTTATAGTGTAGGAGGGCTTGTTTTCTAACTAGACCATCATCAAACATTATTTCTAGGCCTTTTTTTGTCCCAAAACAAAGCAAGGAGTAATTTCCAATTTGTGACGAAAATCATGGGGTACCCCCTTTGAAAAAAAGTCAATATGGCCACTTTGTAAAATCAGCTTTTTTATAGTGTAGGAGGGCTTGTTTTCTAACTAGACCATCATCAAACATTATTTCTAGGCTTATTTTTTGTTCCACAACAAAGCAAGGAGTAATTTCAAATTTGTGACGACAATTATGGGGTACCCCCTTTGAAAAAAAGTCAATATGGCCACTTTTTAAAATGAGCTTTTTTATAGTGTAGGAGGGCTTGTTTTCTAACTAGACGGTCATCAAACATTATATCTAGGGTTATTTTTGTCCGAAAACAAAGCAAGGAGTAATTTCCAATTTGTGACCAGAATCATGGGGTACCCCCTTTGAAAAAAAGTCAATATGGCCACTTTGTAAAATTAGCTTTTTTATAGTGTAGGAGGGCTTGTTTTCTAACTAGACCATTATCAAACACTATTTCTAGGCTTATTTTTGTGCCAAAACAAGGCAAGGAGTAATTTCCAATTGGTGACGAAAATCATGGGGTACCCCCTTTTAAAAAAAGTCAATATGGCCACTTTGTAAAATGAGCTTTTTTATAGTGTAGGAGGGCTTGTTTTCTAACTAGACCATCATCAAACATTATTTCTAGGCTTATTTTTGTGCCAAAACAAAGCCAGGAGTAATTTCCAATTTGTGACGACAATCATGGGGTACCCCCTTTGATAAAAAGTTAATATGGCCACTTTGTAAAAGCAGCTTTTTTATATTGTAGGAGGGCTTGTTTTCTAACTAGACCATCATCAAACATTATTTCTAGGCTTATTTTTGTGCCAAAACAAAGCAAGGAGTAATTTCCAATTTGTGACGACAATCATGGGGTACCCCCTTTGATAAAAAGTAGGGCTTGTTTTCTAACTAGACCATCATCAAACATTATTTCTAGGCTTATTTTTGTGCCAAAACAAAGCAAGGAGTAATTTCCAATTTGTGACGACAATCATGGGGTACCCCCTTTGAAAAAAAGTCAATACGGCCACTTTTTAAAATTAGCTTTTTTATAGTGTAGGAGAGCTTCTTTTCTAACTAGACCATCATCAAACATTATTTCTAGGCTTATTTTTTTGCCAAAACAAAGCAAGGAGTAATTTTCAATTTGTGACCACAATCATGGGGTACCCCCTTTGAAAAAAAGTCAATACGGCCACTTTTTAAAATTAGCTTTTTTATAGTGTAGGATAGCTTGTTTTCTAACTAGACGATCATCAAACATTATTTCTAGGCTTATTTTTGTGCCAAAACAAAGCAAGGAATAATTTCCAATTGGTGACGACAATCATGGGGTACCCCCTTTGAAAAAAAGTCAATATGGCCACTTTGTAAAATGAGCTTTTTTATAGTGTAGCAGGGCTTGTTTTCTAACTAGACCATCATCAAACAATATTTCTAGGCTTATTTTTGTGCCAAAACAAAGCAAGGAGTAATTTCCAATTTCTGACCACAGTCATGGGGTACCCCCTTTGAAAAACAGCCAATATGGTCACTTTGTAAAATCAGCTTTTTTATAGTGTAGGAGGGCTTGTTTTCTAACTAGACCATCATCAAACATTATTTCTAAGCTTATGTTTTTGCCAAAACAAAGCAAGGAGTAATTTCCAATTTGTGACGACAATCATGGGGTACCCCCTTTGAAAAAAAGTCAATATGGCCACTTTGTAAAATCGTCTTTTTGATAGTGTAGGAGGGCTTGTTTTCTAACTAGACGATCATCAAACATTATTTCTAGGCTTATTTTTGTCGGAAGAAAAAGATAGGAGTAGTTTCTAATTTTGACCACAATCATGGGGTACCCCCTTTGAAAAAAAGTCAATATGGCCACTTTGTAAAATCGTCTTTTTTATAGTGTAGGAGGGCTTGTTTTCTAACTAGACCATCATCAAACATTATTTCTAGGCTTATTTTTTTGCCAAAACAAAGCAAGGAGTAATTTCCAATTTCTGACCACAATCATGGGGTACCCCCTTTGAAAAACAGCCAATATGGTCACTTTGTAAAATAAGCTTTTTTATAGTGTAGCAGGGCTTGTTTTCTAACTAGACGATCATCAAACAATATTTCTAGGCTTATTTTTGTGCCAAAACAAAGCAAGGAGTAATTTCCAATTTCTGACCACAGTCATGGGGTACCCCCTTTGAAAAACAGCCAATATGGTCGCTTTGTAAAATCAGCTTTTTTATAGTGTAGGAGGGCTTGTTTTCTAACTAGACCATCATCAAACATTATTTCTAAGCTTATTTTTGTGCGAAAACAAAGCAAGGAGTAATTTCCAATTTCTGACCACAGTCATGGGCTACCCCCTTTGAAAAACAGCCAATATGGTAACTTTGTAAAATCAGCTTTTTTATAGTGTAGGAGGGCTTGTTTTCTAACTAGACCATCCTCAAACATTATTTCTAGGCTTATTTTTGTCCCAAAACAAAGCAAGGAGTAATTTCCAATTTGTGACGACAATCATGGGGTACCCCCTTTGAAAAAAAGTCAATAT